ATATAAAAGAACATTAAGATGTTTATATGTATCTCGTATAAAAACACACACATATGCACATCCAGATTTTTACATGTACATAATTAGAATAAGGGGGTGAAAAGAGAGAACACACACAATACGCATATAAATATATATATACACACACACACACACACACACACACACACACATATATATATATATATATATTCACACACACACTCGCACACACATTCTCACACATACATACATGGATCCAAGTAGTGGCAAAGTGGTCTGACGTTTGGAGGCACAGGTTCACAGAGTGTCGGGAAAGACGTCACTCACACTGAAATACGCGGTGGTGGTGTCTGACTTTCCTAGTAGAAACGTTTGTAAAGTAGTGAGTTTCATTATCGGCCTTGCTGGGGGTGACAGCAGTGAGCCCTGCTTCTCCACACCCGTGCTGCCATCCCTGGTCTTCCCATTCACAGTTCTCGTCGATGACTGCCTGGTTCCTTCTTCCCTAAGCCCTCATCACCTCTCTGAGTCTCTTCTCAGCTCATGACCTCGCTGCTTCTCTGAGGCAAGCGAAGAGCAGAAGAGAACTCATGGCAGATACAGGCCCACCTTCACCCTGCCATGCACTCTGCCCTTTCTGCCCGTGCTGGGAGGCCAGCTCGTCCCCTGTGCACGTAGTGTCTTCTCATGCCTGCTCAGAGGTTCACTCAGTTACCCCTCTCTTGCTGCATCAGCTTGTTCTCCACGGATTGGCTCACATTAGCATGCAAACACTCTTCCTCTCACCTCAGACGCACGCAGCCCCACTTCTTCCTCTGGTTCCTGCCCCATTTTCTTTGTATCCTTTCACAAAACTGTGAGCACACATTCACATTGTTAAAAACACTTTCCTTCTTAACAAGGACTTCCTTGACGACTGACTTAAAGCATCTCTCCCTTCACTTGCTGTCAGTTCTGTGCAATTTTCGGCCATATAACTTATACTTTATTATTTGTTTGCTTATGTATCTCCTCTCCTACCTTGAATGTAAGCTCTATCGGGCAGTATCCATGTCCTGTTCATTCATTTCCATGTCTCCAATACAAAACAGTTCCTAGCACATAGTGTCACTCAGCTAGATGTGAATAAATTGGAGATTCCTATTATATTGTCATTGTTTAAATTATTACACATGGGGCCAACTAGCAGAATGGCAGTTTAGGCAACTGGATCCCACATGGCTGACATCATGGTTCAAATTCCCAACCCAGCAGCTCAAAAAGTACACTGGGCATGTGTGTAAGCTTGCCCAAAATCCCAAGAGGGGAATAGAGGAGAAGGAATTGCAGCGTGACCATCCCCCAAGAGGGTGCTTTCTCACTTCTCTTCCTCCCCTCAAGCAAGTACATATGCCACATAGCAACAATTTTTTAAATACAGAATATTACATATGTTTATTAAAATACTATATTTTCATGAAGAAATGACAATGTATTCAACTATATTTGAATTTTATATTTCTTTTTTTTTTTCTTTTGAGAAGTTTTTGCTATAGGGTGCATGCACTCACCAGAAAGACAGAGAGAGACAGAAAGTGAGACATCACCTCTCGGGGGAATGCCCACACCGCAATCCCTTCTCCTCTCAGGATCTTGGGCACGCACACACACGCACCTGGCATGCGTTTAAGCCACCGGGTCCGGGACTCAATCCGCAGTATACTATATGGGAGTCCAGCGACATAGCCATTATGCCAACTGCTGGTCCCTGAACTTTATATTTCTTAGTGGAGCTCTAAGCTAAGTCAAAACTGTACTTTGCTGCTCATGATCTGTGTCAATATTAAAGGGTAAGGATTCTGGTCGATTAATTTGTTAATTATTCTTTTATGCTACAAGTTACATTTTTTTCATAAATACCACATATACAAATGAACTTTTTTTAACTATACTTTTTTGTGCTTGTGCTTTTAAGAGTGCTTTTTAAGAACATTGATTTGAGCTATTGCCTGGCAACTTCAGTTAAAGAGAACATTTGAAGTCCCTTTCAGTGTTCAGATAACTATAAGAGATACCATCATTTTAGCAGTAACTTATTTTAAAATTTAAAACTTAAGCTATGATAAAAATTGTTTAAATTCGGGGCCGGCAGGTGGCGTGGTGGTTGGGGGCGCTGGACTCCCACATGGCCGGCCGTGATTCAAGTCCTGAATCTGGTGACTTGCTTTCTCACTTTCCCTCTCTCTCTCTCTGTGTCTGCATGATCAAACTGGAAAGTAACAATAATAATAAATAAAGTTAAAATAAAATAATTAAAATAAATTGTTTAAATTCTAGGCGTATATGACTTAAATAGGCATATAATCCAAAGTAATCGCGAGGCTACGATATCCCCCTAAATGCGAAGTAATAAAATTGCCCTCCTGGTTGGATGGGAGGGGAGCGCAACCTGGGTAGGGACTCACAGCTGGAATCACGACGGGCACGTTCTAAAAAGGAGTGAGTTCTCAGAGTTACGTCAGTTACTTCAGGAGACTCACTAGAAACAAGATTCTGAACACCCAACGTGGATATCCAATGAGTTCTCAGAGCTACGTCAGTTACTTCAGGAGACTCACTAGAGACAAGACTCTGAACATCCAACGTGGATATCCAATGAGTTCTCATTGGGAGTATGACTGTTTTGAGGACTCTTTCATTTTGCATAGGAAAATGATTGGGAATAGAATAGAATGAGTGGTCTGTAGGGTGAACTTCTCAAGTACAGGAAATGAAAATCATGATTATATATGAGTACGTTTTTCATGTGATAATATACACATAGTTTAGGTTTTATCTTTATTGATTCAGCTCTTATATAGCTGACCATAGTAACTCACGGTTCTAGAAAGCCAAAGCCCCCCCATACCCAGTAGCAGTAAGTACGCCACGGAAGCAGTCAGTCGCCCAGTGAAACGGCTGTCGGCAGTCCCTTCTAGCACCATCCTTGGGAAATGGGCTTATTTTCAAGGTTAAACAGTCGAATGTTCCAGAGCTAAGAATTTAGATGAATGAACGAGCTAGTGCATGAATGTGCCAGAAAGAAGACATATCCCAGTTGTATTTCTTTGCTTTACTCAAGTATTTATACATACCTTGAAAAGTCTATTGTGCTGTTTCATCTCCTGTTTCCATTTTGTTTTAGCACCTGAAAGTTTCTGTTCCTGACGAGATATCTGTGGATCTCGGTAAGTGTGGAGTGCGCTGTCCTGGAGGATGATGTCTCCAGGCTCGCAGCTCGGCCCCTCTCCAGGTTTACCTGTCCCCGGGTGGCTCGTTGATCCCCTGAACCACAGAGGGAAGTCTGTAATGCATGCAAGGATAAATGAAATTAAATTCTGAGGTGAAGGCCCTCAGTGAAGATGCACTGAGGGCTTGTCTTGGGCCTGCTCCAGCTTAGGTTGGTCAGCTGGCCTTGCTTTGTCGCCGGTCTGCACAGAGCACACCTTCAGATCAGCTCATTGCTTTCTTCCTCTTTGTGCAGAAAAGAGGAGGCCTGAGCTTATTCCTGAGGATCTACATCGCCACTATATCCACACCATGCAAGAAAGAGTTCACCCAGAAGTTCAGAGGCACTTAGAAGATTTTCGGTAAGCTTGGTGCTAGATAAAACCTGAGACGGTTATTTTGAATTCATTTTTGTTGTTGTTTTAAGAGAGATTTTTACTGTAGGGCGCATGCACTTTCTGGAGAGATTGTAAGCAAGAGATCATCCCCCCAGGGAGGATGGCCACACCGTTACTCCTTCTCCATTCTCCTCCCAGGATCTGGGGCACACACGCACACACGCCCAGCAGGATTGTTATGCTGCCCAGTCTGGGCCTTGAGCCCACGTGGGAGCCCAGTGACACGACCATTACGTCATCTGCTGGTCCCAGAAGTATTTTGTTTTTTAAGCTGGAAAAAGTTACACCTTACGTAGCTTAGCAGTAGGTTATCCATGTGGTTTCACCACGTTACTAACATGTAGCACACACCTGGAAGCAATGGTCCCTCGTCCATACTCCTTGTCCTTCAGGATGTGAGCTCGGCGCCGTGTCTGTGCCTGGTATGTTCCAGGGTCCTGTGAACGAGTGCCTTCGGAACCTTTTCCCCTCTGGTATCGTGGGTGAGATCAGCCCCATAGATAGGAAACTGTCACTCCAGCTGTGGAGACTGATGAAATGGCTCCACAGGGAGATATTTCCCTCGGTCACTCAGGAGACATCTCTTGTTCCCCACAGGCAGAAACGTAGCATGGGACTGACCCTGGCAGAGACCGAGCTGACCAAGCTCGATGCAGAGCGGGACAAGGACCGGGTGGCTCTGGACAAGGAGCGGGCGTGTGCAGAGCAGATCGTGGCCAAAATCGAAGAGGTGCTGTAAGTAACAGGACCTGCGCAGGGACGCCCTCACTGCTGGAGTGCCGGCTGTGCTTGCCGTGCTGTGGGACAGGTTTGGAAGGGCAGGCAGGCCGTGTGTGTGGAGTTGTTTATTTTGTCACAGTAATCAAAAATCTAGGGATTTTGTTGATATTTTATTTCCCATGTTTCTTTTTTGGGGTGTTGGTAAATGAAGAACTCTAAAATTTCAAGTCAGTGATCAAAAACAGGTTGAATACTTGCATTAGTTTCCATGTACGAGCTTCGGGAGTATTTCCTACTGTAGCTATGCACAGGTGGTGACGCGAGTGTGGAAGTGTGTAGTTCCTCTGGGATTAGGGGTCTTTGCTGTTTTATGCCAGGTCACAGATCTAGGGTGGGGCTCAAACATTGTTCTGTTGGTTCAGGTATCTGAGTTTGATAGCACCCTTCCATTAAACGTTTACATTTTATTTTTATGTGTTTTTATTTTTTTAGGATGACTGCTCAGGCTGTAGAAGAAGATAGAAGGTAAAATAATTGAAAAAAGAATTTTGACAAATAAAAGAAGCCACCTTTTCTCCTGTCTGCCCTGAACTAAATTCACTTCTTTTCATTTATAAATATAGACTGTGGTCTCCCTCTGGTGGCCTATATTTTATTTGACTAATATTCTCGTGTCATCCCGAGTAGACTCCTTTTCTGTCTGCAGTGAATAGATCTTCATTTTTTGCTTGAATAAGTTCAATAATTGCAGCATTGGGACTTTGGAGATTATTTGATGTCTTTGTTATCCCCCACCCTCCCTGGAAGCCTGGTTTTACTGAGCTCTTTCTCCTCTAGTTCCACGATGCAGTATGTTATCCTCATGTACATGAAGCACCTGGGAGTCAAAGTGAAAGAGCCTCGGAATTTGGAGCACAAGCGAGGTCGGATTGGGTTCCTTCCCAAAATCAAGGTGAGGCTACGGTGACGGGTGCTCAGGGCTTCGGCTTCCTACATTGGCTTGCAGGGTTCTCCTCCTCGGTATTTCCTGACTCAGCATATTAGAGCTAGGCATGCTAGCAGGGATAAGGTACGGGCCCCGTTCCCAAGAAACTTCAGATCTAGTGAGAAATCGACACATGTAGGCCAGTAATTAGGCAGGGAGAAAGAGAATAGCAGATTCCACGGGGAGCACCCCAGCCGTTAGTGCCTCGCTTCCTTTCACTGCCCATCCCAGCTTGCAGTTACCTGTGTGTGTAGCGTTGTGTAGACTGTAAGGCTCTGAGGGCGAGGCCCATCTTCATGACCACCTCCACCTCTACACGCCATGAGCTTCGAGCGGGTGAAGGGCTTAGAGCAAGCTGGCGGGAGAGTGTTATAAACCACACATTCCTTTTCCAAAATGGTCAGCTCTGAAGAGTTTGAAAGACATCCTGAGTCTGACATGCACAGCAGTGCTGTGTGCCACCCACTCGTGAGTGCTGGTGTGTGTGTGTGTGTGTGTGTGTGCACGTGTGTGTACGCCTCGGCGCATGCACTTTCCCTTACAAAATGTCAGGGTCTTTCATTATTACAATTGCACTTTCATGTTTGAAAGCAACAGAAGAAATGTACCTCTGTGACGCATCCCTTGTCTCTCTTACTGTACCTCAACTCTAGCAAAGTATGAAGAAAGACAGAGAAGGCGAAGAAAAAGGGAAACGAAGAGGGTTCCCTAGCATCCTGGGCCCCCCGAGGAGACCCAGCCGGCATGACAACAGCGCAAGTACGTTGAAGGTGGAGGGGCTGCCCTCCCGCCAGCCCTCCCACCTTTCCCTCTGCGGCCTCTTTTGCTAGAATGAGTCGCTGGAGAGAGGCGTGGTTGACACGGCATCACTGAGGCCCAGTGTGCCTCGTTCCCCTGCAGTGTTATTTCCGAATTGAGTGGCCCATCCCCACCATGTTGCTACATAATGTTCACAGATACCTTCTTTACATTTTTATAAATCCCTTCTTTAATGATGGTGAGTATTCCGTGAGAGTCGCTAACATTACTCAGCTGTTCTGATGTTCGTGGACATTCCGGTTGTGCTTGTTAAATGGAAGAAGTGGCACGTGCAAGGCGCTCCCCCCACTGTCAGGCTCTCTGTGTGTGTGTTGACCGTTCCCCCCACTGTCAGGCTCTCTGTGCGTGCGTTGTCCACTCCCCCCACTGTCAGGCTCTCTGTGCGTGCGTTGTCCACTCCCCCCACTGTCAGGCTCTCTGTGCGTGCGTTGACCGTTCCCCCCACTGTCAGGCTCTCTGTGCGTGCGTTGACTGTTCCCCCCATTGTCAGGAAGTCGGTGCGTGTGTTGACCGTTCCCCCCACTGTCAGGCTCTCTGTGTGTGTGTTGACCGTTCCCTCCACTGTCAGGCTCTCTGTGCGTGCATTGACCGTTCCCTCCACGCTGTCCCGCAGACCTGCAGTTCTCCGTTCTGCTTAGCCCCTCCCTGCCCCGCAGGCCCCTGTGCAGAGGGAAGAGCCCCTTAGAGGGCCAAAGGAGAGACAGGCCTGGGGGTGGCATGGGCGGGTGACCAGGCCGGGAAGTCCTCCGCGTCCCGGCCACTTTCACATTCACAAGTAGTGGCAGACGTGACACTGAGTGTGCTGCGTGGTGAGGAGTCCTCACTCCAGTGCACAGGGCCGCTTGCCAGCAAGCACTGAAGCGGTAAAGGGAGCTTTCAGACAGGAGGTCCAGGACAGGGGGTTTCACTGGCACTGACCCGAGTGCCAAGGGGTGTGGAGGAAGAATTTTAGGTACTAGAAGTTGGGGCTAGCTGAGGGGTGTCAAAAGCTGTGGGTGCCCCGTGCCGTGGAACATAATGACCGTGTCAGCTCCTCCTGGTGACTGACGTGAGCGAAGGTGATGGGCAGAATGGAGACTGGGCTGGGTGGTCTCCGGGGCATGTCAGAGTGACACTGAGTGTCAGAGCAGTGGGGTCGGCCTAACTGAGAACACAGAGTGAAGGGCTTGTCCTCAGGTCACAGGTGATCCCTGCTGTACCACCGGCCACAGTCTTAGCACTCCCCTCCCCACCCACCATCGCGCTCCTCAGCTCCTCCGCCCTCGCCCCACTCGCAGCTTCTCGCCTGGTGACTGCCCTCCCCGCCTCTGCCCTCGCCCCACTCGCAGCTCCACTCCTCGACTGGTGACCACCCTCCCCACCTCCGCCCTCACCCGACTCGCAGCTCCACTCCTCGGCTGGTGACTGCCCTCCTCGGCTCTGCCCTCGCCCCACTCGCAGCTCCACTCCTCCAGCTCCACTCCTCGGCTGGTGACTGCCCTCCCCGCCTCCGCCCTCACCCGACTCGCAGCTCCACTCCTTGACTGGTGACTGCCCTCCCGCCTCTGCCGCCCTTGCCCCACTCTCTTCTCCCCCTGCCCCTTCTGTTTCCTGTGTTGTCCTCCACCTCTTCTCCCTTTCTCTCTTCTCCCTCCCTTCCTTGCCCTCACTCTTTTAGTCTATGTTTTGTTCTGTGTAATAATTCATGTTTTATATTTCTAGGACCCAGCATATTCCAGATACTTTTTCATATCCTTTACTGAAAAATATTTTTTTCAGATTTTTAAATTTAAAGCTGGTGTGCACCATAGATTGTTAACCACTGCCTTCTGCTCAGTTGGCAGAGCCATGGAACTGCAGAAGGCGCGCCACCCTAAGCACCTGTCCACACCCTCGTCTGTGAGTCCGGAGCCTCAGGACTTCGCCAAGTCACGCCAGAGCGGGTTGGTGAATGAAGGACCAGATGCTGGGTACCTGCCTGCCAATCCCATGTCCTCTGTGGCTTTAGGGGG